CTCGGCTAATGTCCGTCCCATGCACTGAAAGCTCTCTCCTCCATATCACGAGTAGACACGCCCCTTATTGCTGATTGGCTACAAGTTTGTTTTGCTATTCGGCCCGAATCAGTTTTCTAAAGTGTTTTTGAAAAATCACATACCCTGCCTTTAATAGAGCCAGCACATAAGAGTCTAAAAAGAACTGGCTTGTAAGAGTCATTAGTTAATGAATCAAATGACACGGGTTGCATTATAGTTTTGATTCACTACAAAAAAAACCAGCTCATATTCATAAAGAGTCATTTTTTTCATGAATTGGATCACACTTGTTTCACTGTTTGTTTTGTATTTACTAAAAAGGACCAACTCATTAGTTTGTGAATCAAATGACACTGGTTATGTTTTTGATTTACTAAAGAGTTGTTTCATAAGAGTCATTGGTTTTGAATCGAATGACACAGGTTGCACTATATGTTTTTAATTCACTTAAAAGAATCAGATCAGACGAGTCGCCAGTTTATGAATCGGATGACATTATATAAGTTGCACTATGTTGTTTGTGCATATATGAAGCAAAGACAATGCAATAATAAATACATATTGTCTTAAAATCATCTTGCCACTTTTTTGCCTTATCAAACTACACAACTATACAATTAGTTCTATAACCGTGGTGTTCCAAAATCATCTTCTCCACTGAACAGTGGTGCAAAACACTAAAGTGTATTTCTGGCCTGACATGTACAGTACCAGATATGACTCATGCACATACATCTTGATATTCACATGCAGAAGTCGATTATCTCAGTGATGTTGATGATCTTTATGTCTTTCTCTCTGTCTGTCATCAGGCTCAGTGACACCCATGTTCGTGAGACTGCCGTGCGGAGGAATCGGGGTGAGTTTCTCTTTCTTTCCCGTTTGTAAATAACGGTCCTGTTTGTTCTCCCTCCCCCGAACTCCAGCGGCAACGAAAACTGTTGCTCTCCTCTCTGCTGAGCGGGTAATTGTGTCCAGATGTTTTCTATAAACAAGCTGTGTGCGGTGTGTGTGTGTGTGTGTGTGTGTGTGTGTGTATATTCTCTGATGATGATGATGATGATGAATGAATGGATAGACTTGTTCTTCAGTGCTGAGTGGACAGTGTCAGCCACGCTCTTTCACGGCTCTGGAACAGGAAGTACTCATCCTCAGTTCTCTCATTCTACTCATGCCCTCCCCGTCTGGTGTAGGTGAATGATTCAGACAGACTGTGAATGGTTTCCTGTAATGAATGGAGAGATGGTTCAGTCATTCATGTGAAAGAATATGGGGTAATCTCGCTTTTGTGTTGTCGTGGATACAGTATATCTGTATGTCAAAGGGAAATGATTTCTTTTTCTGTGGCCTGTTGGAAATATTGCACAAAATCGTGACTATTTTGGATAATATAATCATTGCATTTTTGCATTTAGATTCATGCATTTGGCAGATGCTTTTATGCAAAGTGACTTATATTGCATTCAAAATAAATTCAAAATCCTGCCATAGCTTGCACCATTCTCTGCTGTTTGACCTACAAGAAGACTATATTAAGTTTTACCATCCAAATAAGGAAATGTTAAAATAATATAGAGACATTGAACTAGTTTCATATTTTTTTGGTTGTTACAAGTTCCTGAAGCAAAATATCATAGAAGAGGAAGCGCATATTGGCTCAAAAGACTCTTTATTTAATAGGACCACCTTATTTATTTGCTTATTTATTATATATTTATGTAACATACACTTTCTCTCTCCCTCTCTTTATGATTTATAAAGCTGTTCTTTTGAAATTTCTATTCATGAAATAATTGTTAAAAAAGACACGTTTTCACAAAAATATTAAGCAGCACAACTGTTTTTAACATTGATAATAATAAAAAAAAAAAAGTCTAATATGCAGCAAATCGGCATATCAGAATGATTTCTGAAGGATCATGTGACATTGAAGACTGGAGTAATGATGCTGAAAATTCAGCTTTGCATCACAGGAATAAATTACATATTCAAATATATTTAAATATAAAACAGTTATTTTAAATTGTAATAATATTTCACAATTTCACAAGTCGTTTTAATCAAACAAACAGAACAAATCATTAGTGAGCATAAGAGAAGCCCCAACATTTGAACATTTGTATATAAAACAATATTTATGTTTTTGTGAACAATGTTTACTTTAATGTATTGTTCAGGTGAACTGGGATCCAAAAAAAAAACACCATTCACAGTTTATGACAGTTTACAAAACAAATTTAATACAATTATCTGTCTGACAATTAATAGCCAGACAAATTCCATAATTGTGATAGATTTGTTTTTATACTTCCAAACGCAGAGAGGTGTGTGTGTGTGTGTGTTTAATGGTGTGACCTCAGGCAGGGCTGTTGGTGGGGGACTGATAAATGGCAGGCGGTCCTGTCTGGCTGAAGTCACAGTCTTTGAGCTGAATGGTGAGAAACAGAAGGGCTCTGGACTCTTTTATGGAAATGGAACAAAATTGTTGTCTTCCTGCATCTCTACAGCGAAAATTAGCCTGTCAGGGTGAAGATAAACTGTGCTTGCCTGAGACCTGCGCCCCCAAACCTCAGCGTCTACAACATCACTCTATTACTTTCTACCGCTTTTACACCATGGGCCACGTTGGGGTGGGCTTTTGGGGCTTAAAGGCTGATTTATACTTCTGCGTCGGACCTACGCCGTAGCTTACGCATAGACGCACACCCATACGCCGTAGCCTGACGTGCACCTCTCCAAAAATCTAACAGCGCGTCAATTCTACGCCGACCGCAAGCGCTGTG